CAGCTTCATATCATTCAACTGACATCGAAATTATATGATTGTGACCCTCTATTTGATTTATTGAGAGCTTGTTAGAGTGACAACTTTTGGTAATGATTCGAAGCCTATCAGATGTTTTTTCAGAAGACTTCATGTGTTCTACGCCAATTATGCAGCTTCGATCCATAAAATATCTAGAGGTATAAGAAATATTCATCTCTCAATTACATATGGACTGTCTTGAGTGGTTCTTGAAATTTTGCAATTCTAATTTACATATTTTTAGTAAATAGTTTGCAATGTCAGTTTAAGGCTTCACCCTGCTAAGGAAACACCGGAGATTTGCAAGGTTTGGGCCAGTTCAGCACAGGGGAGGCAGAATCCAAACATAAGATAATATCAGGGCTTTTATTCCCTGATAATCAAGTATAGTTTGCAAATCAAATGCAACGTTAAAATCTTAGAAGATTAAATGTCAAATTTATTTAGTCTATGAGGTTTTAATTTTAAACAATTTTAGTCCCTAAATTATTTTTTGTATTTTTTTTCTTGTCGCTCAATGATATAAAATATACTTTTTTTCGTTCAGTCATTTTCGTCCATTAAGTTCGTACAATTAGGATTTTTGTAGTCCTAAACTTTTATTTTATGCACAAATTTGTCGCTGAACTAATACCTATACATTTTTAGTCCTAAACTTTTGTTAGATGAACAAATTTAATGGACAAAACTGAGAAAATAACTAAAAAAATATATTTTTTTATAATTGAGAGATAAAAAAATACAAAATAATTTAAGAACTAAAATTGTTCAAAATTAAAAATTTTAAAACTAAATTTGACATTTAACCATCTTAAAAATGGGATTTAAGGAAATCAATTTTATTTAATATGCCAAATTGATATAAACGTGTGCCATTAAAATTGTATTGGAAAATATCAGTCTTATAGTACACTGCACACAAATGGGCAAGAGACAGGAGATCATGACTTTTGTTAAAAAAAAAAAAACAGTAACAATTTACAGGCCATGTGGGTGAACCACGGCCAATACAGACAAGCGCACATCGCACGACCCACAGTCCCCCATTAGTCCCACCGCATATCAGAAATGGTGCACCCTAGTCTGCTGTTTAGGTGGACCACAGGTCCCCAACTTCCTCATTGGTTACCATCGCACCGGGAAGCTGCATGTTATGGGGAGCATTGCACAACCATAGCGACCTCTATGTTTTATGTTATATCCTTCTCAATCCCACTATTATTAATTCTTCTTCTCTGAGTAAACATTATTCTGAAGGAATTTAATGTGAGAATTGTCATTTCTCTCTTTTGGACGCTTTGGCCCCAAAAAGATTTTTGATTAAGCTCAAAAATATCATTGAGATGACACCCTGAAAATTAACAGCCTAACTGCTCAACTCAGGCTCGGTAGTCGGCAACCCCCAAAACTTTCATTTCTAGAAATTTTTCTCAAATTAGCCCGAAATTTCCTAGCCTACCAATGGAGCGAAAGAAAAGATTCCTTTTCATTTTAAGGATCGAATAAATTGCATAACCGTAACATTTTTATCAATATTGTAAGTTTACACAAAATTAGTCACATGTAATAATGAATTATATGCTTATTTGATTCGAGAAGTTAGTGCCTCTAGTGTCCCATTAAAAAAGAAAAATGAGCAAAATAGTATTGGAATAAAAAAGATCCTTCTTTCCATCTAATAATTAGTGTAAATTGTAAAATAAGATTTTATAATTTAAATTATGTCTTTAATTATGGTAATAAAAATTAATAATACTAATACAACTAATAGTGTATATTATAATTCACTTTACCCTCTGGTGACTATAAAATCACGTTGAAAGTATACTTTCAACTTAAGGATTTGGTTTTGAATCCCATCCTTAAATTGTAACCCATTCGAAAAAAAAAAAAAAAAA